ATTTAACTACCTAATCCAATTTCGGCATGAGAAAATTAGTGGTCCCAAATTCCCACGGAATATTGCGAGAATTTGAGCACTCACGGATACAGCGCCTCAGAAATAAAAGTTCTGGTCACGGATTAGGAGCCACTCCCTTATTTTGTATTATATTATAGGGATCATCTGTAAAAGAGACCTTGGTCTCAGCATGACTCCCTGTCTAAGTAAAATACAAATAATGCTCCTCTACCACTGTCATATAACGGCATCAAACTGAACCAAAGAAAACTGGTCTGAATGCAAATCAAGCCTTGCATGTTTACAGAGACCTTCACCAGTAGTGCTTGGAGCAAGGGAGAGACAGGCCAATGAGTTCATTGTCAGGGTTAGATTGAAAAGCAATGCGGAAAAATGTGGATTTCGGTGTAGTTTTCAGTTGGATTCAAATTTAAGTTTACTGACCGATCTGACTAAATTGAAATGAATACGACCTCATGAGATCATACATTGTTTTATTGCATTGTTCTGCAACCCCCTCCATGGTGATGCTGGGTAGTTGACAGTTTCACCAAAACAAACAGACATTTCAAACTATAAAGTGTAGATGCTGCAGTGGGGCACAGAATGGAGGCTTAGTGGAGACCTGAAGTCAACCCTAGCACTACCTTCTACTTGTTCCACGGTCCATCATGACTAATGGCAAAAAACGGTTAATAGATGGTGCATGGCATGGTTTACGAAATATATCTACTGAAACTAAGTGTCTCCTGAGCAGAGCAATAACGGGTAACACTTTACTTGACACCCAGTGTCATAACACGGTCATAACCCTGTCATAATATGTCATAACAGCTGACATAACTTCTCATAACCTGTCATGACCCATATTTTTACACCTGTTGTGACATTCAGTGCATTCGGAAAGTATTCAGACCCCTTGACTTTTTCCACATTTTGTTACGTTACAGCCTTATTCTAAAATTTATTAAATTGTTTAAATCAATCTACACACAATACCCCATAATGACAATGCAAAAACTGGTTTAGAAATGTTTGCAAATGTATTAAAAATAAAAAACATAATACGTATACATAAGTATTCAGACCTTTTACTCAGTACTTTGTTGAGGCACCTTTGGCAGCGATTACAGCCTCAAGTCTTCTTGGGTATGACACTACAAGCTTGGCACAGCTGTATTTGGGGAGTTTCTCCCATTCCTCTCTGCAGAACCTCTCAAGCTCTGTCAGGTTGGATGGGGAGCTTCGCTGCACAGCTTTTTCAGGTCTCTCCAGAGAGGTTCGATCGGGTTCAAGTCCGGGCTCTGGCTGGGACACTCAAGGACATTCAGAGACTTGTCCCGAAGCCACTCCTGCGTTGTCTTCACTGTGTGCTTAGGGTCGTTGTCCTGTTGGAAGGTGAACCTTCACCCCAGTCTGAGGTCCTGAGCGCTCTAGAGCAGGTTTTCATCAAGGATCTCTCTGTACTTCGCTCCGTTCATCTTTCCCTTGATCCTGACAAGTCTCCCAGTCTAAGATCACCATGTGCAATGTCAAGCGTCAGCTGGAGTGGTGTAAAGCTCACCACCATTGGACTCTGGAGCAGTGGAAACGCGTTCTCTGGAGTGATAAATCACGCTTCAGCATCTGGCAGTCCAACGGACAAATCTGGATTTAGCGGATGCCAGGAGACCACTACCTGCCCCAACGCATAGTGCCAACTGTAAAGTTTGGTGGAGGAGGAATAATGGTCTGGGGCTGTTTTTCATGGTTCGGGCTAGGCCCCTTAGTTCCATTGAAGGGAAATCTTAACGCTACATCATACAATGACATTTTAGACGATTCTGTGCTTCCAACTTTGTGGCAACAGTTTGGGGAAGGCCTATCCTGTTTCAGCATGGCAATGCCCTCATGCACAAAGCGAGGTCCATACAGAAATGGTGTGTCGAGATGTGGAAAAACATGACTAGCCCTGACCTCAACCCAATCGAAGACCTTTGAGATTAATTGGAACGCAGACTATGAGTCAGGCCTAATCGCCCGACCTCACTAATGCTCTTGTGGCTCAATGGAAGCAAGTCCCCGCAGCAATGTTCCAACATCTAGTGGAAAGCCTTCCCAGAAGAGTGGGGGCTGTTATAGCAGCAAAGGGGGTACCAACCAGAAGAGGACTGGCCACCCCTCAGAGCCTGGTTCCTCTCTAGGTTTTTTCCTAGGTTCCACCCTTTCTAGGGAGTTTTTCCCTAGCCACCGTGCTTTTACATCTGCACTGCTTGCTGTTTTAGGCTGAGTTTCTGTATAGCACTTTGTGACATCTGCTGATGTAAAAAGGTCTTTATAAATATATTTGATGGATTGATTGACCAACTACATATTAACGGCCATGATTTTGGAATGAGACGTTCGACGAGCAGGTGTCCACATACTTTTGGTCATGTAGTGTACATCGAAACAGAATGAACACAGTGTAATACTGACTTTGTTTCATTATCAACACCAAATACTTGCCCGAAAAATAGTCTAGGTAAGTGCCATGCTAATTCTGCCAAATCCCTTATGAGGGTTTAATAGCGCAAATGCTCGAAATTAGAATTATGCATTAATAGAAATCTAGCTAGTGAGAAAATGACCTACCTGAAGTTATATTTTGCATTGAAATATAGGGTAAAACAAAGACCCACTAACAGCAGACATAATTGTTTTGTTCTTGCCCTCTATATCAAATATTCAGTAGGCCTCAATCCACAGATACCGATTTAACACTGTACAGCCTATACTGTTGTTCTTTCTCAAAGGCAACAGGAAATAAACCCTCGCTTCGATGCACACTTAATTGGTGTCCCCCCCTCCCACCCTCCCCTTCTCTGATCCAATCAGCGCAATAGGTGATTATGATAACATGGAACAAGAGGATGAGGGGATGCGGCAGCGCACCATAGGGCCCATCCGCACAATTATTTCCCCTTTTTCCTAAAGCCTCCCATGATTGAGCTATTGTGTGGCACTAAACAGAATTATTTCTCATTAATTAACTTCGGCTCAGATCTTCCACCACGCATCCTGGCATTACATCATTATACATATTGCTGCCCTCCCCTCCTGTCCTCTGCATTAGTGTATTGCCGTCTGGATTAGCGTGGGGGGTGGGGAAGGAGAAAGCAGCGGTGACCACGTGATGCTCACGGCCCGTGATTTCATTTTGCCGTTCACCCTATACGCCTCTAAGCCTGTGCTTCATGACAGCATCTACGTCCCAAATGGCACCCTATTCCGTATATAGTACACTACTATTGACCAGGGCCCCATGGGACCTGGTCAATAGTAGTGCACTATATAGGGAATAGGGTGCTTTTTGGGACGCATCCAACATTACAGAATCCTTGTCAGGAGGAATCTATGATAGCATTGGATGCATCGGTTAGACTCTAGTTAGAGGGCTTTTTAGAGAGCGGAGCACCAAGGGGGATGCAGTCACTGATTCCAACGGTCCCCTGAGAAAATCAACTTGGTGATGGTGCTGACGGCCTTATCGTAGGCGTCTTTGCCTAATCTTTTGAGGCAACACTGCTTTTGCTACAGAGTTGCATTGGACAAATTTGAAGATGATTAACCATGCTGTGCTTTTGATCACTTTGAGACTGCTTACACTCTACACAGCGAGATGTCTACAGAAGCAATACTAGCTAAGTGAACAGTGCAAGGCCACTTTCTTCACTACATTGCCACATGGTTTAGGTCTGCCTTTAGACGGACACTGATCCAACCACCAATGTTACATCTTCAGTCTCAGGTCATGTAGTTGAATCTGCCCTTGGGTCACAACACATAATCCAGCGGTAATCTGTCCAAGGATTCACCTTTTGTCTTTAGATCACAATCAAACACTCAGAAGCAAACCGAAGTAGTCCTCTACCACTTATTTGCACTGAAGGGATTGTAGGGTGTCACCTTGATTTTGACTTTGAAACAAGCCATTAAAAGAATACAAAAGGGTGTTGTGTGTTAACAAAGACGGCAGTGGGGTCCCATGTCGGGTAGGAGACATATCCTTTGTTGGCTTGAGGATGGGTAGGCGTACTACAACCCCTCTAAACATCCTGCTTGCACTCACAGCAGGAATGGGGTCAATCCAATTCCAATTCCATTGAATTCAGGAAATTAATTAAATGATGAATTCCAGTTCCAGAACTGAAGTGCCAGTTATTTTTGTATATTTTGGAATATCAATGAAACTCCCGGGTTGATAGAATTGACATGGAATTGTAATTGTCAATACTCAGAAAATCACTTTGCTGGGACCTGGCCTGATGGCTGCAGGGGGGTATGTGGGGCTGCGAGTTGTCCTGTGAGGGGGTGGTTTGTTCAGATATGTCCAATCGATATGGGTTTGAGCCCTCTCAACTAGTGGGTTGTTAGTGCTCCTGCTGGCTCTGCCGCTAGCCAGCAGCGTCAATCAATATGGTGCCTGGTGCTGTAGCCACCGCCTCCCATTGGGTGCCAGCCATCTGACACACTTTCCCCCACTGACCCTGTACTGGGAAAACGACAGGGTGCTGCTATTCTCTTTTCCACATTTCATCATTGTCGCAAATTGGTTTGTGATTGGTTTGGGGACTCCTTATCCACCCACAATATTTGAGATGGGGAATAGCTGTTAATGTCACTACAGGGATTGTCGTTCAAACCTTTTCTCTAACACAGGTGAAATCATGACACAGGCTATTGGCTATTTCTATTTTTTGTTGAAATGAAGTCAGAGATTCACTTAAATATGAGGGAATTGGAATAACCCTCAGACTACAATACCAATTCCTACTCACAAGGTTAAGTTGTTTTAGAACACCATTCTGTAGGCAGCAGGATACTGTATATATAGAGGCAGAGATTTCACCTGAGGAGTGAGGAGGACGACCCTCATAACAATTTATTAAATGTGGAAACTCACAAAGGGGATGTACTCACTAAGTGGAAACTCGCAGTGGAAAGTCACAAAGTGGAAAGTCACAAAGTGGAAACTCACAGTTGGTGATGTCAGGCGGGGCGAAACTGTCATTCATGAAGACACTGTTGGGTTTTGCCACTTTCAAGTAGACCACGTCGGGAGTGTTTTTCAAGGCAGTCACAGCGTGTTCGTGGCTCACCTCCTCAAGGCAAGCACTGTTCACCTGCACAGAGACAGATATTATTATTGATGTGAGATCAGACGTGAACGTACACATTTGTTAATCAGCAGTTAAAACGAAGCGAACTCCCCACACGTTTCGGTAAAAAGCTGAGGAATAGGGCTGGAGAAATGTAACCCCTCAAATTCATAGACAACGCTATGGACGCAAGGACTGAGCATTCATGATATTAACATTATAGTTTGAACCATGTTTTGAGGGGTATAAAGTGCTTGTTTCCATTTACTTTGTTTCCCAACATTGGAGTTAATCCCCTAGAGTCGATGTCCGCACCCCCTGCGGAAATCTAGTTAGCATAATAAAAAGATCCCAATAAAAATCTGTCAGTTTAAGCTAGAGATAGGTTTTTGCATTAGATGCGTCTCAATCCACCACATCCGACAATGTCGCACTTCCACATCTGCGATGAAAGGTGACAGAGCTAGAGTGGTGTTTGTCAGACCATGAGACATCCCGAAAATCGGTCTTCTCACAAAATTGTCTGTAGCGTCCGAACGGGGCTTAGACTCTTATGGGTTAAATAAGCTTATATTTTGGGTTCTGATGGCAGTTGAACTAAGTTCATGAGGCATTTATAAGTTATATTCTTCAAGAATCAAGGGGAACATTTAATTAATTCAGAAGTAAAAAAAAATATGATACAACTGTAGATTGCCACATTAAAGGTGCACCCTCAAAACATATCATCCGACCCTTATATTACAGGGAGCTGCACACTCAAATATGGAAACACACCACAGTAACAGTAACAGAAAAAACACAAACGTGTCAAAAAACACTCTCCACCAATCCTGCGTCATGGAAATGGTAAAGCCTTTAATGCAAGGGCTCTGAGGTACTTAATTAGTTGCTCGTTAATGTATCTGTAATAATGACCAAGTATCTAAATGAGCGGAATGGAGGACGATGGAAATGGAAATCTTACAGCCAGAAGTTTGTCCCCTATCTGTAGCCTCCCGTCTTTGTGCGCAGCTCCTCCTTCGATGATTTTGGTGACGTAGATGCTGTTGTCCCCTGGGATGTGCTGGTTCCCCACTCCCCCTGCTATACTGAAACCAAGACCTGGATGAGACCAAGACAGAGAAAAGAGGAGAAATGTCATAATGTTAACCAATCTGTGAAAATAAATAGGTATGCTGCAAAAATGTCACACTCACTGTATTAGCATAACAATAATGAAATCCCCATCACCAACAAACAATGTAATCAAAAAGTGTTTTTCTGATTTGTTTCCTTGGAGTCCGAGGCATTGTTCTCTTGCCTGTATAATCACATGGCAATGAGGGATTTGAACTAAAACTACTCTGCTAAAAAGAGGAAACAAACAAAACACATCCACATTGCCACTACTCATGCTACATTCCTTTAACCAGGTTAACCTCAATAAAAGCATGAAATACACATGACAGCTGGTGTTAAACTAAAGTAATGAATAAGAAGGTGAGGCGCGACAGTCTCCATTAAATATATTTTCTAAACTTGATAAAGAATAAAATGTGGTGTGACATTTAAACAGACATTCACCAGAGCTAAACTAGAGTAAAAAAGGATGTTGTGCTGACAGTCATAAGCTACAGTGTTATGAAAATAACATGTTTCCAGTTATAAATCAAACCCGTCCTGAAATTGTGCGCGCGTGAATGAGCATTAAAACCTAACTTGAAAAACACCCATCATTCATCTTTTATGGTGACAAAAAGTATTGGAATTAGGCCAAGGCAGTTTCTAAAGCTAATAGCAATGGCAAACTTGATCAAATGTCTCTGGAAGTGTTGGCAGAATGGCAGAACTTTAACTGCGATATTTGCTGTATCTGACCGTTTCCGAAAGAAAAAAACAATTGCAAAATGTTGTGGACCTGTAAACAGATCATTTGAATTCTATAATGTTTTGCGTTTACTTTTTCCCAAACCTAAATATGCTGCACTGTCCACAAATTCTGAAATATTGTCTAGTATGTCTACAAATGTTTTTTCTTTTTTTTTACTACAGTAGGCCTACTTACACACTTCAAAGCAAAATATCAACTGTCTGCTCATCTGTTAAATTCTACTGTATATTATAAACCACACTCCCTTTCGGATGCATAGAACAAAATATTTGAAATAGTTTATCTATTTACTACTGTAAAGTGGGTCCAATTAAATGAGATGGGACGTTTTTGGCATATAGGCTACTTCACGAGTATGAAACCATCACAGTTAGAAAAGGTGAGGGATTTATTCTGCAATGATCATGGAAATAAAAGCTATTTCTAACTATTGTATAATGCAAAAATCCATCTTTGCACTTCTCACTATATATTTACCTAAAGTTTGCGGGAAGCTAAGCACATTCTCACGTCAAGTTCAGTTTTAATAAATGCAAACTTTTAATATAATAATAATAACTATAATTATTAGGTGAGTGCTTATATTTGTCCTATTTCACACATGTACAACTTGTATTATACACGTGTGAATTGGAAATGTGTTTTTTGCATATCCAACTCCCGCTGAGACGGCCTCGGAGAGTGGGGTCACGGCCAGGGATCAGCCATTATTGGATGGCTACCCTGGAGCAATTAGGGTTAAGTGCCTTGCTCAAGGGCATATAGACCGATTTTTCACCTAGTCGTGAAACTTTTGCGTGAAAACTGGAGCACGCATGTTCTGGGGTATACAGTATTTTGTAAGTATGCAATGTTTATAAATTAGGCCCCGGGGTCATGTCAAGTAGGTAGAAAACGTTTTGAAACTGTGTGAAAAGGGGAGGTTCTTAACCATCTTGCAACGGTGTGCCCTACTAAACACGACCCTGCAGAATCAAGTGATTGGATAATCTTCCAACCTACACTGCCCATAAGAGTTTGTCCATTTGGAACCATGGTCCTGTTTGTTCGGCTCCAAATGATAGAAAACAGACAAACAGGGAGGGACTACTTGCGACTAATAATGTCTAATAACGTATTATAAGAATGAATCAATTTCGTATTCCGCTGTAAAACTTTTACAAATGTTTCCGGTTGCGTGCAACCCAGGTTTGTGATTGCATAATCTCTCGTGGACAGACTACCAATATCTTTGATGGGTGAGATAACGAGCAGCATTAGTTCCGGGTATTGGGTTTTCGTCATTGGAGGTATCAGGAAGGTGGTGCTTAAACTGGGGGCGAGGATTTCAAGCTTGGAAACACTGGATGGCCCCATGGAAACACTGGATGGCCCCGTCCTATTACAGTATTTTCATTAAACGAACATGGCACAAAAAAAATCTCCACTTATAAATAACAAGGGCCATAACACCAACAACATAACATCCCCCAGCCTCTGACAGCAAACTGCACAAACCTGACCACGCTTGATATATCAAACTTTAGCAATAGCCACACCATTGTTATGAACATTCTAAAGAGCCATATGGGCGTGGAGTGGTGCGCAGTCATTCCTAACGGGGGCTAATGACTGTTTCATCTAAATTGCAATCTAGTGGCCTGGAAATACTGTACGATGGCATTGCTAAAGTAGACAAATAGTAGGAAACAACTTTAACCTCAATCATAGCTAGCTAGCTAATGCTATACTACATCTAAGGTCAATCTGATGACATCACAATGACGACAAAAGGTTTTCCTACAAGTTATTTGACTCCTTTACAAATGTAATTGTATTTATCAGCGCCAATAACAATGCATTGAGTAGCCCAGAACATTCAGTCGGGACTCAAATTTCAAAACAATATTGGAACGATAAGTGTGACTAATTTTAAACAACTGTTGCAGTGGCTTAAACGAAGGGATGAAATGGGACACTGCTAAGATTCTAAATAGCAGTGTCAAATATCCTCCTCACGCACTTCCATGTTGAGTCTCATTCACTGCTTTTCCGTTTGCTAGAGTAGAGATTTCGAATCTCAATTTCCAACAATTACAAGAGATTTTTGTTAAGCGTGAACCGAGATTAGTGACTGCATATTTGATATACAGTGAATTTGGAAAGTATTCAGACCCCTTCCCTTTTTCCACATTTTGTTACGTTACAGCCTTACTCTAAAATGGGCTAAATAAAATGTTCCTCATCGATCTACACACAATACTCCATAATGACAAAGCGAAAACAGGTTTTTAGAAATGCTAGGGCTGCCCCGGTCAACTGTAAGTGCTGTTATTGTGAAGTGGAAATGTCTAGGAGTGTACTGAAGAGTAGCGTGTAAAAATCGTCTGTCCTCGGTTGCAACACTCACTACCGAGTTCCAAACTGCCTCTGGAAGCAACGTCAGCACAAGAACTGTTCGTTGGGAGCTTCATGAAATGGGTTTCCATGGTCAAGCATCCGCACACAAGCCTAAAATCACCATGCACAATGCCAAGCGTCGGCTGGAGGAGTGGAGTAAAGCTTGCTGCCATTGGACACTGGAAACACGTTCTCTAGAGTGATGAATCACACTTCACCATCTGGCAGTCCGACGGACGAATCTGGGTTTGGCAGATGACAGGAGAATGCTACCTGCCCGAATGTTTAGTGCCAACTGTAATGTTCGGAGGAGGAGGAATAATGGTCTGGTGCTGTTTTTCATGGTTTGGGCTAGGCCCCTTAGTTCCAGTGAAGGGAAATCTTAATGCTACAACATACAATGACATTCTAGACGATTCTATGCTTCCAACTTTGTGGCAACAGTTTAGGGAAGGCCCTTTCCTGTTTTAGCATGACAATGCCCCCGTGCACAACGCAAGGTCCATACAGAAATGGTTTGTCGAGATCGACGTGGCAGAACTTGACTGGCCTGCACAGAGCCCTGACCTCAACCCCATCGAATACCTTTGGGATAAATTGGAACACCAACTGCGAGCCAGGCCTAATCGCCCAACATCAGTGTCCAACCTCACTAATGCTCGTGGCTGAATGGAAGCAAGTCACCGCAGCAATGTTCTAACATTTAGTGGAAAGCCCTCCCAGAAGAGTGGAGGGTGTTATAGCGGCAAAGGGGGGACCAACTCCATATTAATGCCCATGATTTTGTAATGAGAAGTTCAACAAGCAGGTGTCACATACTTTTGGTCATGTGGCGTATTAGTCTTAGCAAGCACCTTTTGCAGCAAGCTAAGCATTTTCTTATTTTTTTTGCGTCGCAAAGTTTAGGTTAGCTAGCTAGCTACCTGTGTCAGGGTGCTGGCATCTTAAAGGAAAATTCCACCCCCAAAATATATTTTGGTATTTGTTTCATTAGTCCAGTGTTGACATTGTCCAAAAATGTGTCAGCAATCAAGTTTTCAAGATATGTAAACTTTCAAAATACAGAAATCATCCCTGTATGATGCATCATAACATGTTGGGACTATGTCAACAATGGACTAATGAAACATACCAAAATATCGTTTTTGGGTGGAATTTTCCTTTAAGTGACAGAAGGTGGCTGAAAAATCAAGTGTAGGCGATAGAAACATTTCAGAATTCTCAAACCAATTCTAAAACCAGCTCTAGCTTAGTTTAGAAGAAAGACTGAACTTTATTTTCTGCCGGATAAATACTTTTGATGCACCCACCACCGCATTTTCTGGAGGTGGGACTAGGTAATAGATCATTATCACACGTTCATACAGGTATCCCCTAGCAAGCAGTACAATTATCAGCCTCTGACAAACTTGTAGGCTACGAGAGCTCCTCTCCCAGTCATCTATCTGTCAATAACTTAAAGTTAGCTAGATATCAGCCTGTAGCCTAAATTATTACAGTTACAACAGCAAGCTAGTCATTAACAAGGTATGGTACTGTAGCCTGGCTATACCTTTGTAACTGTTTTACATGGCTAGCAAGGTAGCTGGTCAGAGTAATCAGGTAGCTAGCTAACGCTAAACAGTCAACAAACAGTCCTCAACTAATATGGAGCAGTACTATAGGCCCTGTAATAACTGTACACGACCTTTGGGCCCTATAGCGGAGTACACGACCTTTGGGTCCTGGAATGTGTGGAGTACTAGGGATGTGACAAAAGGAAAACATTTCTTAATGTTTAAACTCCCTTTTTTATGGGTTTTCAGTTCAAACTATAAGACAAATTCATAAAATTCCATGTGAATTCACAATGCAGCTGCGGTTTGGGTCTCACAGTGCATCCCTTTCAGATGGTTAAGCATTGCACCTTTACTACTATTGCTGTACCTCAATTCCACTTCGCAAAGTTAGCACTTCCTTCTCATTTAACTTCTCAAAGTATTGCCATACAGGACTTTGCTGCTGTGCTTGTCTTTCTCTGCCATTTTTCCAACTGTTATCGATGATGACAGTTATACTTGACTCCTTGCCCATCGACTCCCGATGTCGACTCCCATTTCTGAGTGTCAAGATTTGATTCCACTAAGAATAGACTCCTAAGATTCAGGATTTTTGGAACGGAGGAGACTGATTAGTTGCGGTACTTCTGAGAACAAACACTCACATCTTTCATAGCGAGCTAGCGAGGGACGGAGAGAGAGCAGAGGGGCACAGTATAGGCAGGTCGGCCACCAGGCAGACAGTCAGGAAGTTGCACTAGGCCTAAAGTCCCTTCAGAAAGTATTCATACTGACTTATTCCACATGTTGTTGTGTTACAGCCTGAATTAAAAAAGGATACATAAGTATTCAATACATGTTAGAATCACCTTTGCCAGCGATTAAAGCTGTGAATTTGTGTAATCTGTGGAAGTCTAGAGGTTTGCACGACTGGATTGTACAATATTTGCATATTTTTCTTAAAAATTCTTCAAGCTCTTTCAAGTTGGTTGTTGATCATTGCTAGACAGCCATTTTCAAGTCTTGCCATAGATTTTAAGTCGATTTAAGTCAAAACTGTAATTAGGCCACTCAGGAACATTCAATGTCGTCTTGGTAAGCAACTCCAGAGTATATTTGGCCTTGTGTTTTAGGTTATTGTCCTGCTGAAAGGTGAATTTTTTGTTTTTCGGTTAGGGATTTAACGTTAAGGATCCCAATTTTGTTTAACCCCCTAAAGTCGATTGACGCTCCCTAACGTCACACGGTGATGCCATATTCAATATTGAATAGCTCCCCATGTGATTATGCTAGAGACTTTTCTTGTAGCGGCTGCAGCTCAATCCCCTCTTTCTAACGATATAAAGCTTGCACCTATTCCATAACATGGGGTGGGGGGGCTTTTGAAAGCAGTCTTTTTCTACACGAGAGTATCCGGACAATAAAATAGTCACAAAATTGTCTGTAAAACCTCAAACCATTTGAGCTACAAAGTCCCCACCAACAAAAGATGACTCTCACGAACACGAGTGTTAGTTTTTCTGCTCTACGACATCCACAAGCTTTACAGCAGAACGGTCGCGAACGTCCTAATTTCGAAGAGGTGTTCTCACAAAACCGACTGTCCAGACCAAACCGTTGGAGCAACAAACTAATATGTAACCAATACAAAGAGTTGGCCCTCACGAATACGAAAGTGTTGGTTGTTTTGTTCTACAACGCACACAAGCTTCAGGGGAGTCGTCTAAAGGTAACCTAGTAACGGGCTGTAAAAATGGCAAAACATGCATAGGGGGTAAAAGAAAAGTGACACGAATAACGGTACCAAAAATGGGTCTAAACATTTTTTTTTTCTGAGTTCTCTCAGATATAGGACACCCACTTTAAAACTTTATTTCTTATGATTTTTTTCTTGACCATCTGTTTTGCAATGTACTCAATGAGTTTCTAAGGGCTATAGAAGTAAAGGCCAAATTCAATGTTTCATCATAATTTTTTTTAGACCTACAGGGGTCCTAAAATTCAAATGGCAAAATTATCAATTTTATGACCATCTTAAAATAATTCCATATGTTAGCTTAGTAGATATTGCGATCTAAGGGCTTAAACGTTTTAACGTTTAAACGTTCACACCCCTATGGAGCACACTAACTTTGGGCCCTGAAATGTATGGAGTACACTACCTTTGGGCCCTATAGAGAAGGAGGGGAGACCGGGGACAATTGTTTCCTTTTTTTTTTTGTTGCCACCTCTCTTTTTTGATTATTGACCTGTAGAACATTCTCCATGTACAGTGAGGTAAAAAAGTATTTGATCCCCTGCTGATTTTGTATGTTTGCCCACTGACAAAGACATGATCAGTCTATAATTTTAATGGTAGGTTTATTTGAACAGTGAGAGACAGAATAACAACAAAAAAATCCAGAAAAACGCATGTCAAAACATGACTTAGTACTTGGTGGCAAAACCCTTGTTGGCAATCACAGAGGTCAGACGTTGCTTGTAGTTGGCCACCAGGTTTGCACACATTTCAGGAGGGATTTTGTCCCACTCCTCTTAAAGATCTTCTCCAAGTCAAGGTTTCGAGCCTGACGTTTGGCAACTCGAACCTTCAGCTCCCTCCACAGATTTTTTTATGGGATTAAGGTCTGGAGACTGGCTAGGCCACTCCAGGACCTTAATGTGCTTCTTCTTGAGCCACTCCTTTGTTGCCTTGGCCGTGTGTTTTGGGTCATTGTCATGCTGGAATAACCATCCACGACCCATTTTCAATGCCCTGGCTGAGGGAAGGAGGTTCTCACCCAAGATTTGACGGTACATGGCCCCGTCCATCGTCCCTTTGATGCGGTGAAGTTGTCCTGTCCCCTTAGCAGAAAAACACCCCCAAAGCATAATGTTTCCACCTCCATGTTTGACGGTGGGGAAGGTGTCTTGGGGTCATAGGCAGCATTCCTCCTCCTCCAAACACGGCGAGTTGAGTTGATGCCAAAGAGCTCAATTTTGTTCTCATCTGACCACAACACTTTCACCCAGTTCTCCTCTGAATCATTCAAATGTTCATTGGTAAACTTCAGACGGCCCTGTATATGTGCTTTCTTGAGCAGGGGGACGTTGCGGGCGCTGCAGGATTTCAGTCCTTCACGGCGTAGTGTGTTACCAATTGTTTTCTTGGTGACTATGGTCCCAACTGCCTTGAGATCATTGACAAGATCCTCCCGTGTAGTTCTGGGCTGATTCCTCACCGTTCTCATGATCATTGCAACTCCACGAGGTGAGATCTTGCATGGAGCCCCAGGCCGAGGAAGATTGACAGTTATTTTGTGTTTCTTCCATTTGCGAATAATCGCACCAACTGTTGTCACCTTCTCTTGTAGCCCATTCCAGCCTTGTGTAGGTCTACAATCTTGTCCCTGACATCCTTGGAGAGCTCTTTGGTCTTGGCCATGGTGGAGAGTTTGGAATCTGATTGATTGATTGCTTCTGTGGACAGGTGTCTTTTATACAGGTAACAAGCTGAGATTAGGAGCACTCCCTTTAAGAGTGTGCTCCTAATCTCAGCTCGTTACCTGTATAAAAGACACCTGGAAGACAGAAATCTTTCTGATTGAGAACGGGTCAAAAACTTATTTCCCTCATTAAAATGCAAATCAATTTATAACATTTTTGACATGCTTTTTTCTGGATTTTTTTGTTGTTATTCTGTCTCTCACTGCTCAAATAAATCTACCATTAAAATTATAGACTGATCATTTCTTTGTCAGTGGGCAAACGTACAAAATCAGCAGGGGATCAAATACTTTTTTCCCTCACTGTATCTAAACATATCATTTTTTATCAATTAAGATGAGGTATAGTTGATGACAATTACTGTTGTATGTTCTCACAAGACTCATTTGGAAAGAGTTCTATGCTTTGGGTTGGGTTTAACGCAATGCTCCAATTTACCCCTTACCTACATTTATATCATATGTAATTATTTAGACATTCACATATTTATATAAAATATGACTTTTTAAATCAACTTTGGTAGTGCAACCAAGATAATACTTCAGAAAAATGTACACTTTTTTTTACGCTAATACAAAATATAATACTTTGGATATTACATGCCTAACAGATAAAAGGAAAATATGTCAATTTAGTGTATTTTCATCCAAATATCAGTTTTTAAAAAATCATTACATTGTTCAATTATACTATGATTAAAACATTTGTATTTGTTTATGCTATTTTTTTAAATACTGATAATGATAGAGCACGTCACAAATGTACGTTTGTTTGTGTGAAATTTAGAAATCCCTACATCAAACAGTTTTAGAGTGAATAAGATTTTAAGAAACAACTCCAAAATGGTCTCCCCTACACTACCTTTGGGCCCTCTAAAAAAGTTTAATGTAACATTAACACTGTAGTGTGGGTAAGAGTGTTGAGTTAACCTTAACACAATTAGTTGATTTAACACTTGCGATATTGCTGTGTACCTTTGGGTCCTTTCACTAGCTTGATCTCCATCACCTTCTCGGAGACGGGCTTCCTCCGGCGGACGTAGAGGCGCACCAGCGACCCGGCCTCCTTCAGAGCTTCCACCGCCCGGCTGTGGGTCACGTCCCGCACGTCCGCCTCGTTCACCCGCAGGATGACGTCGTTGACCCTACACCGGGGTGAAGAGGAATGACAGTTAGAACCAGGGTGGGGACTCATGATCCCATCACAATTTCAGCCAACTCATTACTTACAGGATAAGTTCAGAATTTTACAACTTTACAATGTTAAATTGGTTCCTCAGGTTTGTAGTGCCTGTTTAAAGAAAAAAACGAACGATGGATTACAGTTTCTATTGGCCCACAGGGTGAGGAACCATCAAGTTACAAAAAACTGAACTTCTCTTTTAAAGCCTGCAGGTATAATGCATTATGATGCAGGTATAATTGTTTGTAACACTTGTCATGAGCATGTATGACCCCTCAAATCTTCAAGTCACAAGACCTGAAGGTAAACTGCCGGTTTTTTTCAAATGAAAAATAAAATATTCAAATGACAACAAAAACAAACAATCGTGTAATACATCCTTATACTTTGGGTAAGAGTGAACTGTAAGTGTAAGAACGTTGTACTATGTTCATGTATAAAAATGCCCAGTTGCCCTTTATTTTGGCTACCATGTCTTAGATAGGGCGGCAGGTAGCTTAGTGGGTAAGAGCGTTGTGCCAGTAACCGAAAGGTCGCTGGTTCTAATCCCCGAGCAGACTAGGTGAAAAATCTGTTGATGTGCCTTAAGCAAGGCACTTAACCCTAATTGCTCCTGTACGTCGCTCTGGATAAGAGCGTCTGCTAAATGACTGAAATGTAAATGTTAGAAGAGATCTCAGTGACTTTGAAAGAGGAGTCTCAAAGGAGCATAGGGGGTTTAAAGGGTGTGTGTCTCTGTCACCAGATCGCAACAAAATTAAACACTTATGGGAGATTATGGAGCGGCACCTGAGACAGTGATTTCCACCACCATCAACAACACTGAATGATGGAATTTCTCGTGGAAGAATGTTGTCGTATCCCTCCAATAGAGTTCCAGACACGTGCAGAATCTATGCCAACAAAGATTGAAGCTGTTCTGGCAGCTCGTGCCCTATTAACACACTTTATGTTGGGGTTTCCTTTATTTTGTCGGTTACGTGCATGTATGTACGCATTTAAAATTACTTGAAAATGAACAAGAACATCAGTAAATAGAATACCGGTCAAAAGTTTGGACACACCTACTTATTCCAGTTTTTTTGTTTGTTTTTTTAACCAATTGACATGGTTTGGGATGAGTTGGACCGCAGAGCGAAGGAAAAGCAGCCAACAAGTGCTCAGCATATGTGGGAACTCCTTCAAGACTGTTGGAAAAGCATTCCAGGTGAAGCTGGTTGAGAGAATTCCAAAAGTGTGCAAAGCTGTCATCAAGGCAAAGGGTGGCTACTTTGAAGAATCTAACATTTAAAATATATTTTGATTTGTGTAACACTTTTTTGTTTACGACATGATTCCATATGTGTTATTTCATAGTTTTGATGTCTTCACTATTATTCTACAATGTAGAAAATAGTAAAAATAAAGAAAACCGCTTGAATGAGTAGGTGTGTCCAAACTTTTGACTGGTACTCTATCTCAGATATATCTCTTTACCTTTCCAAATTGACTAGATGAAACGGAACTGACCCTGTACCCCTTTGAGCTCTCTCAAACTTGGGCAACCAAAACAGGCATCGGGCGCCATATTTGACCCCCTCGTCGATGGAGAATGTCACACTGGCTCACGTCCGCTATTGTGACTCTGGTTTACCTTGACACTGGGCTGTATTAAGTTCTTCTGCCGGGGACTAGTGTAATATTGATGAGGTAGTGAAAGCACCCAAGCACTCTGACCCTGTGGATGTGTCTGTGGGGTCCATAGAGAAGCTTGTGTCTGTCATTGACTATCGGGATACTGAATTATGTTACCTGCCAGGGTGTTACTGTTCAGGGTCGTATTCATTAGGGCACAATATGAACCCAGGTCTGCAATTTGCGACAGTCACCCTCTCAATACTCCTCATTCTATGCTGTGCTAGTAGGCTGTATGAGTAATATCCACACAAACATATTACTCTTCTAAGACCCAAGACAATCTGGGGTCATTTAGGGATACCAAACTGACAGATGTGCACATCTAGGCTAAACGTTTAAGCAGTGGATCTGGAAGTGTGTAGCCTATAGATCCAAAAGATGAGACAGACAACATATACCTAAAGGTCTTTATGTAAATTAGTCTAGATAGGAATTGAGCCAATTCAGAGAGTATATAAAGAACAAATACACAATGTGTCCATGTCTGTATGTATACCTGTGTGTGTGTGTATATTCATTAGGGATGTGACAAATTGAACATTTTTCTTAATGTTATTTATCGTTTTTCAGTTAAAACGATAAGAACATTTTGTGGGGGACAATGAAAGCATACCTTAGAGGTCAAATGACTGCATTCACCAAAAAGAAACAAAGAAAATGGAAAACGCTTACAGAATGTATCCTGAGCCTAGACAGGCAATATGCTCTTTAAAAAACACCCAGTAAAATACTAGCTCACCAACTATGTCGATCTGCCACATCACATACAATTGAAAAAATATATGACAGTGATGGTATGCCCACCTGTGACAACAATGAAATAAACAGTGTTCAAAAACATATATTCTAATTGATATCAAATCAGAATTAATTGGAAACACTCCCCTAATTGAATCATTCTTTAACAACCTCCCATTGCCCACTCTTGATTCTAGAGATAGAGATATACTTAACAAAGAGCCAACTGTCGATTAAATTTAAAAAAGCAATTAAATCAATGCAAATGATGTCCAACTCACTCCTATTTTGCATGCAGTTTACTATGAATCTCTTGAAAACAAATTATTTCCTCCATCAATGAACCAAGCATGCATCTCATTACTGTTAAAACCCAATAAAAAGACCCACTTAAGTGTAGTTCCTATCGCCCCATATCCTTAAGTAACGCGGACAAAGATTTTAACTAAAGTCCTATCCCCAACAGTTGGAAACAAGTATTAAACAGGTATCATTGGACCAAACCGTATTGATCTAAAAATACACCCCCCCCCCCCCCCCCCGCAAGAAAATCAGCTGTCCTCCTGCAATCCTAGACGGCTATTAAAAATGTATAACTCTAGGGATTCAACAGAAGAAAAAAAACGGAGGTTGTAATATCATTAGACGCCGAAAAGTAATCTGATCGTGTAGTGGGACATAAAAAAAAAAAACTCTTTGCAACATAAAAAAAAAACTTGGCTTGGCTGCAATTTCATTTCCTGGGTAAAATGATTGTATGCTTTACCATGTGCTTCAGTAAGAACAAATGGCCACAAATAACAATATTTCTCACTAAAAACATTGAACTAGGCAAGGGTGCCTATTTGCCATTGTGATAGAACCCCTGGCCATCTCAATCCGGGCCAATGAAAATATTAGTGGAGTGAAAAGAGAGAACAGAACAGAAAGTGTCTCTATATGCGTTTGACTTGTTTTTATACATTTCAGACCCGATTGCTTCCATTCCTCTGGTGCTTAATATTTTAACTGTATTTGAGAACATCGCAGGATACAAACTAAATTACAGCAAAAGTGAACTATACCCAATTAAAAAGACTGAGCTGTCTAATAATACTCTATTTATTTTTTGGGGGTACTTTTTACCCCTTTTTCCTCGCCAATTTCGTGATATCCAATTGGTAGTTACAGTCTTGTCCCATCGCTGCAACTCCTGTACGGACTCGGGAGAGGCGAAGGTTGAGAGCCATGCGTCCTCCGAAACACGACCCTGCCAAGCCGCACTTGTTTCTTGACACACTGCTCGCTTAACCCGGAAGCCAACTGCACCAATGTGTCGGAGGAAACACTGTACAGCTGGCGACCGAAGTCAGCGTGCATGCCTGACCTGCCTAGTTAAATACAAAAATAAAATATTGTGGTCTATTTGACAAAAAATATAAAATCCACAGAATTAAGTTTGGACTTGGTTCATATGCAGTGGTGTAAAGTACTTAAGTAAAAATACTTTAAAGTACTACTTAAGTAGTTTTCTTGGGTATCTGTACTTTACTTCCTTGTGACTATTTATATTTTTGCCAACTTTTACTTTACTACATTCCTAAAGAAAATAATACTTTTTACTGCATACTTTTCCCCCTGACAACCAAAAGTACTCATTACACATTTTGACATGAAAATTGTCCAATTCACACACTTATCAAGAGAACATCCCTGGTCATCCCTACTGCCTCTGATCTGGCGGACTTACTAAACACAAATGCTTTGTTTGTAAATTATGTCAGAGTGTTGGAGTGTGCCCCTGGCTATCCGTCAATTAAAATAAATAAAAATAAGAAAATGGTGCTGTCTGGTTTGCTTAACATAAGGAATTTGAAATGGTTTATACTTTTACTTTTGATACTTAAGTACATTTGAGCAATTCCATTTACTTTTGATACTTAAGTATATTTAAAACCAAATACTTTTAGACTTTTACTCAAGTAGTACTTTACTGGGTGACTTTCACTTTTACTTAAGTAATGTTCTATTAAGGTATATTTACTTTTACTAAAGTATGATAATTGAGTACGTTTTCCACCACTGTTCATATGCAAAAGTTTCTTCCCCATTAGATTGTGTTAAAAGCACTGGAAAAGTCCACAACCACCATCCGGGCATTGGACTTTTTTCAAGATGGGACTGAGCCAGGTGTATTAAGTACACAAGAGCATCGTCCACTCCTCTCTGTTGCATGTAGGCGAATTGAAGGGGGTCTACAATGTCTCAAACCTTGTTTTGTATGTGGGAGAGGACCAGGCGCCCAAAACCGTTTAATTATGACAGGTGTTAATGCAACAGGGCGGTAATCATTCAAACAGCAGGGTGGCTCTTCTTGAGCACTGGGCATACGATGGAAGATTTCCACAGAGCTGGTATTGTGTGCTTCCTCAGTGAGCGATTGAACAGCTCAGAGAACACACCGACAATTCCTTGTGACAGGATTTCAGAACATGGTTGCTGATGTTACAATGGCCAATCAGTATTGTCAAAGAAGTCTCACAGTGCTGCGCTGGAGGTGTCATTCCAATGTTTGACTGATTTATAGTTGCAATAAAATGGCAGTATCGAGTCGCAATACATATAGAATCGCAAGAATTGCAATACTATTCGTATCGGCACCTAAGTATGAAAAATGTATGCACTCACTAAACTGTAAGTCGCTCTGGATAAGAGCGTCTGCTAAATGCCTAAAATGTAAAATGTATCGCGATAACATCATATTGTGAGGTCCCTGGCAATTCCCAGCCCTAGTGGAATATAGGGCCCTGAGTGTACAAAACATTAGGAACACCTGCTCTTTCCATGACATACTGACCAGGTGAATCCAGATGACATCCCTGGTACTACCATTACTGAACCTCAATTCCACCTGGCAAAGTTTGTAGTTCACCATCTTCTCATTTAACTTCTCAAAGTATTGCCATACAGGACTTTGCTGCTGTCACTTGCCTTTCTCAACCATTTTTCCAACTGTTAACGCCAAGAGCTTTATATATAATAATTTGAAAGATGCATATCTACCAGTAATGTTACAGCACTGTTGCATTAGGTATTTGTTTAATTTAAATTGTCCCTTTATAATGATGATCGGGACCTGTTAGTGGTAGTTTTGTGATAACTGCACTGTGATTTGTAACTTTCACAGTTAGGGATTTTTCTTAACGTTAACGTTTTCATGTCTAAACGTTCACACCCCTAATATGTGTGTGTGTTCCTCACTCACCGGAGTCGTCCGTCCTGGGCCGCCGCCCCCCCAGGGATGACCTTGGTGATGAAGATGCTGGGGTCTTCACCGATGTGGGGGTTGTCCGTTCCCCCCGCGATACTGAAACCCAGCCCAGAGTTACCCTGGAGAAACCAAACAAAACATAATTCACTACTTTCCAAGACAAACAAACAAACACACTTTCTCCATACATTGATGCATCTTTGGGTCTTTGAAAAGCACTATATAAATCCCATGTATTATTTTTAATTCATATATTAACATGTCAACAATGATAACAATTACAGACTGCTACTGCATACAACAGACTTGTTTGTGCAGTCTTCCCTACTCCTAAGGTGTATTGTTACGCCGCTGTTTGTGCGGTCTTACCAACTTTTACGGTCATGCATGACAAGTTGGCAAGACAGCACAAAACAGATCTGGGACCAGGCTAAGCTTTCCAAATGGTCAACGAGAATCTACAACAAAGTGGCAGTATTATCACATGATAATGATGTGATAATACTGCCACTTTGTTGTAGATTCTCGTTGACCATTTGGAAAGCTTAGCCTGGTCCCAGATCTGTTTTGTGCTGTCTTGCCAACTTGTCATGCATGACCGTAAAAGTTGGTAAGACCGCACAAACAGCGGCGTAACACACAGAGTGCATTGTGCTCCTTAGGAATGGCAGCGGGCGCAGGGGATAAGGGCTCCCAGGGAGACAGCTTGCGGAGAGGCGAGCATTTTTTATTTACGCTATGTTAATAACACCGTGCACTTGAGTACAGCTGAAATGGGTCACGCACAAAAAAAAAGAAAAAAAAAGGAAAATAACAAAGAGACATCAGCAGCATGATGGGAGCATTGGGAGGAATAAGACACGGCTGCATAATGCAAGAGTGCACAAAGCAACAAAATACGTATAATGCCAGTGACATGGTCTGAGTCCCAAATGACACCCAATTCTCTTTATAGTGCTTATATATAGGGAATATGGTGCCATTTGGGATGCAGCCTTGGAGTGTGTCATTGACTTGTGTGGAGCATTGGCGAGACTGGAGGAGTGTACTACGCAAGACAGTTGGCCGTTTGATACAGGACAACTTGAGAGGAGAGAACACTAAGGTCCTGATTGTGCTGTATCATACGAGCAGTGTTGGGGTCAGTTCCATTTCCACTCAATTCTGAGAGACGAATTGCAGTGTAATTAACTAATTGAATGATTCCCCTGAATTATCTGAATAGAAATGGAATTCATACAGACCCTGCACACTCGAGCTGTGAGTAGGGCTGTTACGGTGACTGTATTACCGCCACACCGGCGGTCACACGTCTAGACAACAGTCAAATTCCACATGACCGTTTAATCATGGTAATTAGGCTTCTCCAAGCTCTGATGCTGCTGATGGTCATTAGTAGCCTACCAAACTTGCTAACTGCCTGGTACTCAGCACTCTATTGTCCCTCTAATCACTGACATCAATGCAAATGTAATAGAAAATCAAATCAAAAATTTAAATGAGAGCCCATGAGCTCATTTTGCGCAACATTTCTATAGGCTATGCAATTGCGTGAGAACAGAGTGATGGCCTCTATTAAAAAGAGGAGGATCCCATCAGCTTTCTATAGGCTAGGCCTACTATATTCATTTTTCAACTTTCCTAATATTAAGCACATTGCTTTCTCGCCGGCATGAAAATGAACGACGCAAAAAGCGTCCTCAATTTGCTATAAGTGCATAAATGACATGTATTTTTTTTCCCGCTGCCCCTGTTTCGAGACAGGTGCATGATAATGGTCTATTCTAAATCAAAACAAATTTCACACATATTATTTTGTGTATGTAAAGACAAGATTAAATCAAGAATAGTGTGATGGGTGCAAATATTAACCTATCACTTACCAATTATATATTATCACTTGTTTTAATAAGGTTTGTTTTACAACTAAAGCGTCAAAATAACTTCTTAAAATAAAGCACATTAATCCGCTATACAAGGATGTAGAGCCTAACTGGCATACATACATAGCGCGTGAGTTTCAAGTTTGCGGAAGATCATTTTCACCATAAAAATGCATCTATATAATAAAAGCAATTCATGCATAATTGCATTAGTGGTCACTTTTGAAAATCGTGTTTTCCTGCTGAGGGAACATTTGTGCTTATAGCCTACTGCCGTGTGCGCATTGCTGCGCTTATAATGTGAAGAAATTAGGTGAGGGCTCTGGGAGTGTGGTGCCAGGAAAATAACCTCTCACTCAACATCAACAAAACAAAGGAGATGATCGTGGACTTCAGGAAACAGCAGAGGGTGCACCCCCCTATCCACATCGACGGGACCGCAGTGGAGAAGTTGGAAAGCTTCAAGTTCCTTGGCGTACACATCACTGACAAACTGAAACAGTCCACCCACGCAGACAGTGTGGTGAAGAAGGCGCAACAGAGCCTCTTCAACCTCAGGAGGCTGAAGAAATTTGGCTTGGCACTTAAAACCCTCACAAACTTTTACAGATGCACAATTGAGAGCATCCTGTTGGGCTGTATCACCGCCTGGTATGGCAACTGCACCGCCCGCAACCGCAGGGCTCTCCACTTTAAGAAATGGAACACTAGTCACTTTAATAATGTTTACATATCTTGCAGTACTCATCTCATATGTATATACTGTATTCTATAATATTCTACTGTATCTTAGTCCATGCCGCTCTGTCATTGCATGTCCATATATGAATATATTCTTAAATTCTATTCCTTACTAAGATGTGTGTATTGGGTGTATGTTGTGAAATTGTTAGATATCACTTGTTAGATGTCACTGCACTGTCGGAGCTAGAAGCACAAGCATTTCGCTACACCCGCAATAACATCTGCTAAACACGTGTATGTGACAAATAAAATGTGATTTGAACGTAAAAGTACTTCACTGTATCATGTACTGAACCACTTCAATATAGTGACAGAAGAGAGAGGACCTGTGTTGCTGCTGTGCAAAGATTGTGGGTGATTCCCAAATGGCACCCTATTCCCTATATAGTGCATTACTTTTGACCAGGGTCCATAGGGCCATTTAGCAAGCAACGGTTGTGAATAAACATTTATAAAAAGAGACACAGTCTCCTTACCCGTTCGAGCGTGATCTCCTCATATTCATAATCCGCTTCTGTCCCGTTTACCTGGAAGGGGGAGAGGGAAAGACACGTTTTAGCTGCTGGAGTTTGTTAGCTACTAGTGACTACTTGTAACAATTGACTACTACTAGTAACTAACAGTGACTCCTAGTGAGTTATGGCAGAGCAATGAAGGTTTCACATCTTTCAGAACAAGACATTTCCTCTCCCGAACGGAGACAGTGGCCTTTTTGGAATCTGTTTGTGTTTTCAAGTTCAAAACCTTTACGTCCTTATAAAAGGTACTGTATGTTGAAGAGGAATGTAAAAAAATAAAAATAAAAAAATGGCAATGATGAGATTCAAGTGAGAGATAAAAGCCTTTCCTCTTCTGTACCACAATTCAAGTGAGATGCACTCAGAGCTCTGGAAATATAGAATTTTCAAAAGGCAGACCATCAAAAAATCTGCAACATTTGATGTTATTTCACCTGTGCTTTAGTCAGTGAGAAAGCCAGATTGTGTGTTTGAGATTGACTATATTGCAATCAGGCTGCACAGTGCACAAGATGTTTAAGCATTTCAGAATGCTATAGTAGTCTGCTTCGCCGCCTGCACAGCCCAACCGCCATGTATAGTAAAGCCATCTCAAACGCTCCAGGGTGAAGTTTCCGCTAGGTACAGATCTAGGATCAGCTTCCTCACCCCCAATCCTAACCATATTTGGGGAGAAAATGCTAAACTGACCCAAGATCAGCATCTGGGGTACAATTTCACCATCTCAAAACACCAAGAGCACAACTGGCTGTATTGACTCCTGCTACCCAGTCAGATGAGTGGACTGGCAAACAGAGGGGATACATTGGTAGTGGTAAATGTGTGGGGAATACTGTGTGTTGTGCCCTTGGCGGGGCACTTAACTGTATCGGTAAGGTCTTAAATGCGCTGGTAAGTCACCAACCTGTCCTCTGTAAGTGTCCCCCAAGTCGCAAATTGATAGAACCCATGTGGTTTACCTTAAATCGATTGAATTGATATGTGGAAGAGCATAATGTGTAAAAAAGCCATCTGAAATTGAAATTACAGTCCCTACTACACACAGTCTTTGGAACTGATAAAGAATAGCGTTTGGAGTCTGTGGAATTATGTAGCTAACTAACATGTGTAGGCAGATGACCATTAAAACCAAATGGACAAAAAAAAAGTGTCAATACTATTCATTCAATCTCTCTTTACCGCTTCTCATCATCCCTTGTTCTCTCTACACTGGTCAGGCTGGGTGGATAGTATTTCCAAAGCAGTTTCCTGTCACTCCCACTGTTCAGCTACCCCACCCCCCCCGAGCATCTCTCACACACAAAAGTATTCAGGAAAGGAAGACCCAGAGTTACCTCTGCTGCAGAGGATAATTTCATTAGAGTTACCAGCCTCAGAAATTGTAGCCCAAATAAATGCGTCACAGACACATCTCAACATCAACTGTTCAGAGGGGACTGTGTGAATCAGGCCTTCATGGTCGAATTCCTGCATAGAAACCACTACTAAAGGACACCAATAAGAATAAGAGACTTACTTGGGCCAAGAAACACATGGACATTAGACTGGTGGAAATGTGTCCTTTGGTCTGGAGTCCAAATTTGAGATTTTTGGTTCCAACCGCAGCATTTTTGTGAGACGCGGTGTGGGTGAACGGATGATCTCCGCATGTGTGGTTTCCACCGTAAAGCATGGAGGAGGAGGTGTTATGGTGTGGAGGTGCTTTGCTGGTGACACTGTCTATGATTTATTTAGAATTCAAGGCACACTTAACCAGCATGGCTACCACAGCATTCTGCAGCGATACGCCATCCCATCTGGTTTGGGCTTAGTGGGACTATCATTTGTTTTTTTAACATGACAATGACCCAACACACCTCCAGGCTGTGTAAGGGCTATTTTACCAAGAAGGAGAGTGATGGAGTGCTGCATCAGATGACCTGGCCTCCACAATCACCCGACCTCAACCCAATTTAGATGGTTTGGGATGAGTCGGACGGCAGAGTGAAGGAAAAGCAGCCAACATGTGCTCAGCATATGTGGGAACTCCTTCAAGACTGTTGGAAAAGCATTCCAGGTGAAGGTGGTTGAGAGAATGCCAAGAGTGTGAAACGATGTCGTCAAGGCAAAGGGTGGTTATTTGAAGAATCTCAAATCTCAAATATATTTTGATTTGTTTAACACTTTGTTATTTAATAGTTTTGATGTCTTTACTATTATTCTACAATGTAGAAAATAGTAAAAATAAAGAAAAACCCTTGAATGAGCAGGTGTCTCGAAACTTTTGACTGGTACTGTATATGACCTATGTAAAGTACTTTATTCACATGAAGAGGCACACAGACCTTTGCCCACTGTTATTGCGGAACAATAGGAGGACTCCATCCATCAAAGTACCTCGAGCAACAGCATTTCCTTAACGGACTTTGGGTTTGTCAAAGTGTAAAGCTGTCGTCAGACTTGCTAGTATGACCCATAGAGATCTTATAATTAATCTATATGTAATTATAAGGTATGACCTTTCAAATGCATCAAACTTTTAAATTCTGAAATGGGAACCACAAAAAGTACAGCATGCACCACATCTACTTTTCCCTTTGACATGTTCGTACCTCACACATGAATCCGACAAAGACGGATCTGAGACAGGGCAGCTGTTGAGGCAGCGTCTCCAATTTAATTTAGAATGTTGTGGTGACAACCAGACAGAATTACAAAATTATGAAGACAGTCCAAAAAGTGATTATTAGGGTTGCAATATTCCAGTAACTTTCCCTGGAATCAGGAGTGAATAAGAATGAAATCAGGAATATTCCCACCCGGATTTCTGGAAGACCTAAGAATTTTGATGGTAAACAACAAACATGTAAGAAGAAAAAAAGTGTTTTGTTTTTTATTAAGACTGAATGGGTCTAGAGGTTGAGTTCAATATCATAAGAGGTTTTAGGGGTGGAAGAGTGAAAGACAGAAGGACCCATCTGCAGTCAATTTGTGCTCTGAAGCTTTTTAGTCTGCGTGTTTAAAATCTGAACACAATCACACATTTTAATTCATGATGTGACATAACAGGTTGGCAGGACAGTCTAGTTGCTTGTTTCAAACTCCTGAAACGTTCATGTGGATTGTGCTAAGTATTGAACATAAGGGGAAAAACTGCACGTCTGAGCTAGTCTGTGTATATAAATAATTGAAGAAAGTCTCAGTGTTCCTCCTGGCATTGCCAACGTCTGCGTCCCAAATGGCACCCTATTCCCTGTATAGTGCACTACCTTTGACCAAAAGTACTGCACTAAATAGGGAATAGGGTGCCAACGGCTTTGAATGCTGCCACTTTGCACTCCAATGTTACTGTGCCGAGAGACCTGCCTGAGTTAGAGTTCGGTGAGTCGATGATGCACTCTTTCTTTTTTCATAAAACTACACAACAAAAATATAAAACATGTAAAGTGTTATTTCTCTCCAATTTTGTACATACATTTGTTTAAATCCCTGATAGTGAACATTTCTCCTTTGCTAATAAATAATCCATCCACCTGACAGGTGTGGCATATCAAGAAGCTGATTAAACGGCATGACCATTACACAGGTGCACCTTGTGCTGGGGACAATAAAAGGCCACTCTAAAATGTGCAGTTTTGTCAAACACCACAATGCCACAGATGTCCAGAGCTGTTGCCAGACAATTGAATGTTCATTTCTCTAACATAAGCTGCCTCCAATGTCGCTTTAGAGAATTTGGCAGTACGTCCAACCGGCCTCACAACCACTGACTACGTGTATGGCGTTGTGTGGGAAAGCGGTTTGCTGATGTCAACGTTGTGAACAGATTGCCCCATGGTGGCGGTGGGGTTATGGTATGGGCAGGCATAAGCTACGGACAACAAACAAAATTGCATTTAAATCGATGGCAATTTGAATGCACAGAGATACCGTGATGAGATCCTGAGGCCCATTGTTGTCCCATTCATCCACCGCCACAACCTCATGTTTCAGCATGATAATGCACAGCCCCATGTCGCAAGGATCTGTACACAATTCCTGGAATCTAAAAATGTCCCAGTTATTCCATGGCCTGCATACTCACCAGACATGTCACCCATTGAGCATGTTTGAGATGCCCTGGATCGATGTGTATGACAGCGTGTTCCAGTTCCCGCCAATAGAGGAACTTCGCACAGCCATTGTAAATATTTGAGTATATCTTTTCATGTGACAACACTGAAGAAATTACACTTTGCTACAATGTAAGGTAGTGAGTGTACAGCTTGTGTAACAGTGTTAATTTGCTGTCCCCTCAAAATAACTCAACACACAGCCATTAATGTCTAAACCACTGGCAACAAAAGTGAGTACACCCCTAAGTGAAAATGTCCAAATTGGGCCCAATTAGCAATTTTTCCTCCCCGGTGTCAAGTGACTCGTTAGTGTTACAATGTCTCAGGTATGAATGGGGAGCAGGTGTGTTAAATTTGGTGTCATCGCTCTCACAATCCCTCATACTGGTCACTGGAAGTTCAACATGGCACCTCATGGCAAATAACTCTCTGAGGGCTTCTACTGGATTCAGCGTACATTTTCATTAACTGTAATTCCGTTAGTTATGCTCCAACTTTCCCTCCATCTTATGCCAACATCAGTTCCTTTTAAGTCTTGGTTCCAATAGTTTATATTTTCTGTCAGTTGGATATAGTCTCTGCAAGATTTTGTATATCTTCCCTATAATATGAACATCCTTTTTGGATTCAAATAAGATTCCATGAAGGTTGCTCTGATAAAAGTATAATTTAAATTTCGTGATATGTAACTTTTACATTGGTCAATCCAAAATTACTCTTTAATTATGTCATGGCAATAAATGTATTTCCTGTTACCAAGTCATTTACGGACCATGCACTCTTTCACCAACCATCATTAGTCTCCATGTGTTTTGTACCGTACAGCTGCAGAACTATAGCTCTAAACAAGCCAAGGCTCTTCCCTATTTAGTGCACTACTTTTGACCAGAGCCCTATGGGATTTAATTATTATTCAGTTGAATTTGCTTTTGCTTCACACTGTAAGCATTGTTTTTGTGGAGCACTTGAATCCAAATGTGCATTGCCACATTTCAAGAAGAATGTTGATTTGACTTGATTCGATTGAATAGGGCCTGGAATGCTAGCAGTACCATGGACAGCAACCAGCTTTCTACCAGCAGTACTGAGGAACAATGCCACACAAGAGCTTCTTTAGTCTAAGCTCATGGTTCCCTTTCTCAACATTGCTAGGTACAAATGGGGATAATTAAACTATTATATATTAGGATTATACTTTTTGTGATATACTGTACTATTAGCTGATATGAATATGAGATGAAATGTCAACACGCAAACCACCATGCTTCTTTCAATTGTGGTGCAGGGAATTACTGCTCCAAAGTTGGCTTCATTGTAAAAAAAAAAAAAGATAATTCACACAATAAAACGATTATATTTTTTGCTGACATAAATATGAAGCTAAATGTGTTATTAAAGACCTAAACGTCCCCTTTTCAGGACCCTGTCTTTCAAAGATAATTCAAATACCTTCACAGATCTTCATTGTAAAGGGTTTAAACACTGTTTCCCATGCTTGTTCAATGAACCATAAACAATGAATGAACATGCACCTGTGGAACGGTCGTTAAGACACTAACAGCTTACAGACAGTAGGCAATTAAGGTCACAATTATGAAAACTTAGGACACTAAAGAGGCCTTTCTACTGACTCTGAAAAACACAAAAAGAAAGATGCCCAGGGTCCCTGCTCATCTACGTGAACGTGCCTTAGGCATGCTACAGGGAGACAGGACGGACAGCTGATCGTACTCGCAGTTGCAGACTGCACAGGATCGGTACATCCGAACATCACAGCTGCGGGACAGGTACAGGATGGCAACAACAACTGCACGAGTTACACCAGGAATGCACAATCCCTCCATCAGTGCTCAGACTGTCCGCAAAAGGCTGAGAGAGGCCGGACTGAGGGCTTGTAGGCCTGTTGTAAGGCAGGTCCTCACCAGACATCACCGGCAACAATGTCGCCTATGGGCACAAACCCACCATCGCTGGACCAGACAGGACTGGCAAAAAGTGCTCTTCACAGTCACGGTTTTGTCTCAGCAGGGGTGATGGTCGGATTCGCGTTTATCGTCGAAGGAATGAGCGTTACACCGAGGCCTGTACTCTGGAGCGGGATCGATTTGGAGGTGTTGGGTCCATCATGGTCTGGGGCGGTGTGTCACAGCATCATCGGACTGAGCTTATTGTCATTGCAGGCAATCTCAACGCTGTGCGTTACAGGGAAGACATCCTCCTCCCTCATGTGGTACCCTTCCTGCAGGCTCATCCTGACATGACCCTCCAGCATGACAATGCCACCAGCCATACTGCTCATTCTGTGCGTGATTTCATGCAAGACAGGAATGTCAGTGTTCTGCCATGGCCAGCGAAGAGCCCGGATCTCAATCCATTGAGCACGTCTGGGACCTGTTGGATCGGAGGGTGAGGGCTAGGGCCATTCCCCACAGAAATGTCTGGGAACTTGCAGGTGCCTTGGTGGAAGAGTGGGGTAACATCTCACAGCAAGAACTGGCAAATTTGGTGCAGTCCATGAGGAGGAGATGCACTGCAGTACTTAATGCAGTTGGTGGCCACACCAAATACTGACTGTTACTTTTTTGATTTTGACCCCCCCTTTGTTCAGGGACATTATTCAATTTCTGTTAGTCACATGTCTGTGGAACTTGTTCAGTTTATGTCTCAGTTGTTGAATCTTGTTATGTTCATACAAATATTTACACATGTTAAGTTTGCTGAAAATAAACATAGTTGACAGTGAGAGGACGTTTCTTTTTTTGCTGACTTTACATAGGTAGCTCCGTTCCATAACCCCTCTGATGGAGGCCAACTTGACCTGGGTCGTGTTCATTAGGCACTAAAGGGAAGAAAAGGGACTGAAACAGTCCATTTTCTACTTCCATAGTTAGATGCTGATGCTTTTATTTCTCCCCGAAATGAAAACTCTGCATGTTTGGAAAGTGCCGGTATCACCACCATCTTGAGTGGCCCGATTAATAGACAGCCTTAACCTCTGACCTCTGGTCAGACCCATGGGAGATGAACAATCAAAATCAACTGGTGAGATGCGGTCGGGGAGGGGGGGGATGTCTGCCCTGGTGCTGTCATAACGCAATTGTGTTGGGTCTTAGGAGCAGATTTGATTGCCGTCCACACACACACGTACAGTACCTATGAACACGGGCATACACACAGGAGTATGTGTGTGTAGGATATTTCCATGACATTGACTGACCAGGTGAATCCAGGTAAAAGCTATGATCCCTTATTGATGTCACTTGTTAAATCCACTTCAACCAGTGTCGATGAAGGGGA